TCAATAATGCACGAGCCTCTGGCGAGATGAAGGATTGATAAAATCGTAAATTTGATGCGGTGCGTGATCTCGAGTGAAGCATTGTGAAATCAATTTTATTTAAAGTGTAAACTGTAACTGAATTAATTTCATGCTTCTTTTTTTAAACGTGTGTTCCGTTTTTCCAGCTCATACGGAGTTCTTTTATTGTGCGATGGAATCAGAAAGGTTAAGAAAAAAAATAATGAAATTCATATACAAATTTCGACACTGGTAAAATTGTAAAGTTGTTTTTTATAAGGTTTAAAAGTGGTGGAGTTAAATTTTTGATTGATGGATATTTTGACTTACCTGTTTTGAAGAAGATGGATTTTTTAGAGGAATTTTCCGGGGTGAAAATATTGAATTTTTTATCGGGGAATTTTGGGTGGGACAGATTTTTGAAAATTTTGAAAATTGGAAAAATGTTTTTTTAAGGGTGAGAAATAGAAGTTTATATGAAAAAAGTTAATATTTTGACTGCTGTTTTGAAGAAGATGGATTTTTTAGAGGAATTTTCCGGGGTGAAAATATTGAATTTTTTATCGGGGAATTTTGGGTGGGACAGATTTTTGAAAATTTTGAAAATTGGAAAAATGTTTTTTTAAGGGTGAGAAATAGAAGTTTATATGAAAAAAGTTAATGTTTTGACTTCTATTTTTGAAGAAGATGATTTGTTTAGAGGGATTTTCAATGATGAAAATATTGAATTTTTCACAGGAAAGTTTTTGATGGGAAAGATTTTTGAAAATTTGGAAAACATAGCTCGAAATTCTATATCTTTAGTAGATTTTACACCTTTAAGAAAAAAAATCTTGCGCTGAATTTGTATCTAATTAGTAACAGGATTCTTCAGAATCTGTGTTAATAAGGATTCAAACGATAATATTTTTGCAATAAGAATTCTTGACTTCGAAATTGGCCTAAAGTTTGGTGAACTTCAAACAAAAAATATTATTCAACTTGTACAAATTTTTGTGGGTCCTCCAGATTCCCATTGACTTGACTACTTGTCTCTTAACTTTACAATTTTTGGCGTAAAAAGTGTTCGAATTGTGCAAATTAATAACAAGTCTTATTATGAAATTGCAAAAACTTATTCAATTCTGGGACATTTTGTACCGAATATTAATCAACATTATATGCAAATTTTGCAGTTTTTGCATAGAAATTGTTCGCTATATACTTAACTGAATTTATTTTATCAACGATATAAATTAAGCGACTACATCTCCATAAATAAATATTTGCGAAATAATCTTGATTATAAAATTGCAAAAATTCAATTAGTGCACAGTGTGCACTGCACACATACATTATAGCGAAAATTAATCTACGTTTTTCGCAAATTTTGCAACTCTTCGTGTAAAAATGTGCATTTTATTTTGAGTGAATCATTTTGCCTGCAAAGATAACTCCTTATCTTAATTACCTACAGACTACGTGCTTCTGATCCTGACCGGGTTTGGGATTGGATTATCCAAATAGTGAATGATGTTAGAACGACAAACATGTTAAGCTGGGGTCATCACGCATAAATGATGTCAATTTTACAGATCAATCTGAAATACGGGAACAAAATTTCATAATTTCAAAAATTTCCGGTCCAAATTTCCGATCTGTTATTTCTATTATCGTTTCCATGTTAGAAAATTTCAAAATTTCCGACTCAAAATTTTCAATCACAACATTTTCGCACAACCCATCACGCTACCGACAAAGAAGAAGTAGAATTATCATTACGTAAAATGTAAACCTTTGAATTTTTACTGTCCACGTTTTTATCTGGTTTAAATAAATCCTGTTGGGGGACCAGGGTAAAAGATGTCACCGTTTTTTGACAGGGTCAAAGGTCACGAAATGTATCCTTATTAATTAATTAATTTTGGATAAAAAACTTATAATATTTTTTATTTCCGGGCCTCAATTTATCGAATTTTATGAATGGATTTCTTTCTTTTTGTCGCGGATAGGATGAATTAAAGTCATAAATCAGTTTATCTTTATCGTTCTCTCTTTATCGTGACAGGTTTGAGTTGATTTTTATTATTTGATTTTTTGAGACTCAATTTGATGACTCGATCGAAGGGGGATATCGGTCAAAAAAGTTATAAATTTTTATTGATGATTTAAAACCTCGAGAAGAAAATAAAAGCTGATTGAACAAACTGAGAGACAATTTGAAAACGAAATTGGATTTGTTTATTTGAATAATGTGGTGTGGTGACAAACAAAATTGACTGAATTTTCAAAATTTTCATGTTCCACACAATACAGTATGTTTGTTACCGAATTGTAACAGTGAACGAAATGAAAATAAATTTGGGAGAAAATTGATTTAGGAATTTAAATGGGATTTTTCATCAATTAAGAAAACGATTTACTGAATATGAATGAATATGAATATAAATTTGAATATGAATTTGAATATGAATATGAGTTTTTGTAGTCGAGGCATTATAATTAAAGCCCTTTTTACATGCATTGCTTATGTAAAAATTGCTTTAATTTTAACGCCTTTTTCATAATTATTAGTGTAATCAGTGTCGTTGATCACGTGACTTTATTTGTGCGCAATTAAATTTTAAAAAACATCAGTAATGATGTACATATCTGAGGGTTTAAAGCGTATAGAATTTTCATATAATTACAAATTCGACGTGTAACTCTAGCAGAGATTTGGATGAACTTTTGAATTCACTTTTTTTACCTGATAAATAGTGTAATTTGCGTTGCACTAAATTCCATAAAGTAACGGAGATCGTCAAATTAATCGAAAAAATATTAGAGTTTCTAGAAATTATTTGGCATGAATACTTAAATAGTTTAAAATTGGTAGATATTTAGAACAACATTTCTTTTATCAATTATTCCTAAGATTTTTTAAGATTTCATGGAGGTTTGGTAGGCGAATTTGAAAAGCGAAATACTGCTTGTGGGGTTTCACTTGAAAATATCATCGTTTAACTTACGGCCGTGGTAGCATTACAAAATCCATAAATTCAGTAAACGTACAAACTTTAATAAAATTTGATAAATACTTCTGAGGAAAATTAGCTCACAAATTTTTGTAAACTTGCTCAGATCAAGGGCATCTCTTCATTTTGTAAACATTTCTAAAATTATGCTACAAAATTTACGAATTTTATCAATTACTGCGTGAATTGCCTTAATGGAAATTTTCACGACCTTGAAAAAAAACGTCCAGTTAAGAAAGTGCCGTGAACTGAAAACCCTCAACAATTTTTGTAAAATGAGATAGCACATAATGCACCCTGCCAAAAATTAAAAGGTGACAAAATCCAGCATCCTCCCCGAGACGATAAATGTAGATGAAAAGATGAATAATATTTAGAAACACATGGCAGAAAAGATAGATGATTTTTATTAATTTCACACACAAGAAATTGTTGACCAAAGGATTTTGAGCGTCACGGGCAATAAAATTTTATGAGGTGGATCAAATCTCTTCTCTTTTTTGGTTTAGGTAGTAGCAGCGTCACGGAGAATTCGATGATGGCAAAAGTGGGTTCTCTTTCATTCCATTTATTATGCAGTCTTGTTCATGTTTCTCTTCTTTTACAATGGGCTAATTCACGGCAAGATTTGTAATTTTGTGGGAGTGTTTTAGGGATTTTTAAAAATAGAAATTTGGCAGTTTTTCGATTTTATTTTGTACAAATTTAAGCAAAAAGACATACTGTTTAGGATTTACAGATTTTGACGCGATTCGTATAAGGGGCGAGTTTACGCAAGATTTGTAATTTTGTGAGAAATATGTTCGCTTTTTAAGTAAAAAATGCAAAAAATGTGATATTTCTTCATTAAAAAAACTAAACTAAAAAAATAAATTTACAAGATCTTCAAACTTAACAATTACGTATAAACTAACTGATATTTAAACATTATATGAATTAAAGTTACATATTTCAAAGATAAATTTTTTTGAAATTTAAAATTTTTTGAATATTTCTTAATTAATAATATCAAATTTTACTGGTTTTTACGCCGGGAACTAGGTAGTTAACAAATACCGATTCTTAAAATAAAAAAGATTGCTCAAAACAAAATTCCACAATACACAAAATGGAAATATACGACCTTTGTAAGCCTTTTTTAACTTCAAGACTTATTAATATTAATACGACCTCAAGCTTTTGCTAAATATGAAATTTGAACAATAATTTATGCACAGCGTCATCACGAAGGGCTTGGCAATATTGTGAAATCACTAAGTTCCGTAAACTTACAAAATTATATGCATATTTCGAAGGAAAATTGGCTCTTTCATTTTGGATAAATTTGCAAAATTATTTTTTACAAATTTACCAAGGACTGAGTGAAATTCCTCCGCGTAGAATTTTTAAATTCATGTTAGGAATTTTTGGTAATTTACGAGACTTACAATTAGCGAAATGTTTTTTAATCCTTAAATTGTTCAAACTTACAAACTTTAACAAACTTGTACTCATATTCCAAAGGAAAATTAGCTTAGAAATCTTGTAAGCTTGCTCAAATCAAGGGCATCTCTTTATTTTGTAAAATTTTGCAAGATTACTTTACAAAATTTACCCATTTTACAAAGTTTCCAAGTACTGCGTGAATTTTCCACACCCTTCATCACATCTTTTCTGTACAATCCCCCCCTCATTTTCGCCAAGTGACATTTCTCTCTGTTTTTTTCTGGGAGGAAGGAAAACGATCCACGCAATTCACGCTGCCTTTTGTAACTTTGTTAAATCCGTAAAACCCTTAAACTTACAAACTTTTACAAATATTTTTTATGAAAATTAGCTCGCAAATTTTTGCACACTTACTCAGATCAAGGGCATTCCTTTAATTTGTAAAAGTTTACAAAATCATTTAAAAATTTACCCATTTTACAAAGTTACCAAATGCGTCACTATACAATAGGAATATTTTTTGTGAGTTACAATTAGCGAAATATTTGATTAAAAATCAGTAAAATCTATAAACTTATAAACTTTAAAAAAAAATTGCAAACATTTCTCAGGAAAATTAGCTCGCCAATTTTTGTAAACTTACTCAGATCAAAAACGTCTCTTTATTCTGTAAAAGTTTGTACAGCCATTTTGCAAAGTTACCAAAACCTACATGAATTTTCCAAACCCTGCATCACATCTTTCTGCACAATCCCCCTATCATTTTCGCCAAGTGACATTTGTCTCTCTGTTTTTTTCTGGGAGGAAGGAAAACGATCCTGTTTGTTTGATGATCTCTGGCGATGATGAGAGTGTTGTCACAGCTGGTGCCACAAAGAGTGAAAGAAAAACGTCCACCTTTTCATCCCGATGGAGACAGGGACGCATAATTGCGTAAGAAGAATGGATCCGACATGGGCAATAAATAGGGAAGAAAAAGGGTCGCGTGTTACACCGCGTCAAATAAATTATTACATTTCAAGCACTAATTCAATTGAATTTCCCATAAAAATGTCAAGAATGAAATGAATGGGTCATTCATTTCGTTGGAGGAGAGATGGGAAAATTAAGAATTTTCTTAGGTACCAGAGATGTCCGAAATATTTTGAAATTGGCGGGTGAAGAAATTTAAATGTTTGTAAGTGAGCAAATTGTGTAATTTTTGTTGTGCTTTATAGAAGTCTGGGAAAGGCAAGAAAGTTGAAAGTCAAATTTTTTGGTTTTTTCAGATTTTGACAAATTGAAATTGGAAATATTTTTTTTTACTTCTTAACACAAAAAAATATACAAATGTTTGGAATAATATTGTAATTGTTTAGGAGAGTTGTCCGAAATATTTTGAAATTGGCGGGTGTAGAAAGTTAAATGTTGGAAAAAAGATGAAATTATGCAATTTTTGTCTGGAAAAGTAAGAAAGTGGAGACAATTCATTTGCACGATTGAATTATCACAAATTGGAATTGAAAAAAAATATTTTTTTAAATTTGTTAAGTTACAAAATAAATATTTGAAAGATGTAATTGGAAATTTAAACGTCGAAAAATAAAATTTTTGTGGTTGGCTTAATCAAACTAACAATAATGTTACATGAGTATCTTATTAAATTCACTAAATAACGTTTATTTGTAAAGTCTTCAATATTTGGGAAAAGTTACCAAATTTGACAAATATTTAATAATAAGGAAAATTAGCTCACAAATTTTTGTAAGTTTAGTAAGATCAATGCCATCTCTTTATTTTGTAAACGTTTGTACCTACAAAATTTACAAATTTTAAGTATAAAGTTACAAATGACTGTGTAAATTTCATCGTTGAACGCAAACTCAAATAAATCAATACCAACGTCTGTTCAGTTTTTGATCAATGCGATCCTTAATATTTTTCAATCAAGTTACATATTTACAAAGTTTACAAAATTATCCGCGTGAAACGAGCCTTCTTCAATTTCATTTCATTTTATTTCCCTGCCCATAAAATACTGCCCTCCACCCGAAAACAAGGGGCAAATATATTTACGAGGACAGGATAAAAAGAATGAAAAAAGATAGCGATAATAAATAAATGGAGGGTTTTTTAAAACTTCTTTTTTTTTAAAAGAACACTTCACACTTTAGAATTTGAGGGGATGAACGCATGAAAAATGTGGAGGATCACACATGGCGTAAAAATGCTAGTTTTTCATCCCCTTTGATATGGATGATGTCTTAAAAACGGGAAAATAAAGTATCAAATTCACTCTCTCTCTCACTTTTGGTGAGAGAAAAAGGTTGACATGGAATGAAATCGGATCCTGTTTTCTGTGTCAGATGGAAAATAAAAATTATGCGAGAGGGTCGGACAAGGAGGATGGGATAGATTTTTTTGGGGTAGGAAGGGATCGTTTCTGGGGGTAAATTTCTGTATTTAAAGTTTTTTGTGGATAATTTTGGTGGGAAAAGTTTTGTAAATTTTGTAAATTTTAAAAAGGGTCGGGCAAGGAGGAAGCGATAGATTATTTGGTAGGAGGGATCGTTTATGGAGAATAAATTTCTATATTTCAACCTTTTTACGAATAATTTTGGTGGTAAAATTTTTGCAAATTTTCGCAAATTTAAAAATAATGTAATGTCAAATTTAGACGTTGATTTGTTGAATTTATTATATTTAATTAGGATTTGATCAGGGAGATAATGGGGTGTTGAACAATTTTCAGAGTAATTTGATGTATTATATAGAGGGGTAAAAAGGTTCGTTTTTGGGGACATATTTATGTATTCCATTTTTGTGTAAATAATTTGGTATCAAAATTTTATGTCACTCCTTCAAATTTGAAAATGTACAATTTAGACGCTGATGTGTTGAATTTATTATATTTGATGAAATAATACTGATTAAGTAGATGATTTAATCTGGTCAATTTTCAGGACAATTTGATATATTTTGTGTGTAGTAGGGGTGGATTGGTGTGGGGGGGGGGGTAAATTTACGTATTTAAATTTTTTGTACATAACTCTTGCGTCCAAATGTTGTGCAATTTTTTTAAAATTACAATTTAGACGTCGACGTATCGAATTTATTATATTTGATAAGGTAAAATTAATTCAATAGATTAATTCCATAGATTTGCTATATTTTTTGTGTGAGGGGTCCTTTCTGGGTGGTAAATTTATTTATTTTAGTTTTTTATAAATAATTTTTGTGACCAGTGTTTGTGCAATTTTTTCGCATTTACAAATGTGCACATTACAGGTCGATGTTTAAATTTATTGTATTAAATGAAATAAAAGTGAGTAAGTAGGTGGATTCTATCCCTTTGTGGTCGGGACGATTTGATGAATTTTTTTAATATGAGGGGCCGTTTCCCCGGAAGATATTCATTTATTTCAATTTTTCATAAAGAATTTTTGTGCCCGAAGTTTAAAATTTAAAAAAAAATGTGTACATGACACGTCGATGGTATGAATTTATTATACTTAATTAAGTAAAGCTGATTGGGTAGATACATATGCGCTGTTCATGGGCAATTTGGTAGTTTTTTTGTAGGAGGGCTCATTTCTTAGGGTAAACTTATTTATTTATTGAATTTTTTATAAGCAAATTTTTGTAAAATTTTGTGCAATTTTTTTTTATTTTTTAAAAAATTTAAACATGTCCACATCACACGTCGGTAATTTATTATTTTTATAAAGTAGACTCAATAAAGTACTTAGATATTTAGACACCTTTGCATGTATTAGGACAATTCGGTATATTCTTTGTAAAAACGGCGATTCTGGAAGAAAATTCATTTACTTATTTTAATTTTTAAAAACGATTTGTGTACCCGAAGCTTACAATTTTTTTAAAATGTGCATTTTACACGTCGATGGTTTTAATTTATTATATTTAATCAAGTAAAACTCATTGGGCAGATGCTTATGCTACGTTCTCCGAACAATTTAATATTTTTTTGTAGGAGGGGTCATTTCTGAGGGTTAAATTTATTTATTTCAATCTTTTATAAATAAGTTTTGTCCAAATTTTAAAATTTTAAAAATGTGCAAATTATACGTCGATATCCTTAATTTTTTGTATTTAATAAAGTAAAATGAATTATATAGATCACTCCTCCGTTTTTTTCGGCCGATTGGGCATATTTTTTTATACAAGGGGCCATCTCTGGGGGTAAGTTTGTTTATTTCAATTTTTATAAAGAATTAGTGTGCGCAAAATATGTGTATTTTTTCTTTAGAAATGTTACACAAATTACGCATCGATGTTTTTAATTTATTATATTTAATGAAGCAAAATTGATTGCGTGCATGGATACATCTGCCCTATTTTTAGAAGGATTTTGTATATTGTTTTTGTAGGAAGGGTTGTTTTAAGGGTGAAATTTATGTATTTCACGTTTTTATAAATAATTTGTGTGTCCAAATTAAAAAAAGTGAGAAGATGTGCACATTACTACACGTCAATGGATTGTATTTAATAAAATAAAACTGATTAGTAGATGTATGTGTATTTGGACGGTTTGACACATTGGCCATTTTTGAGGACAATTATTATGAAATTATTCTTTCTCCAAATTTTCGTAAACTTTGTAACTTTACAATTGTCAGCAGGAATTATGCGCATAAAATCCCTGTGGAAAAAGGGCTTTGAAATAGTAACTCAATTCATGCACTCCTTGGTAACTTTGTAAAATCTTGTAAAATTATTTTACGCCTTCTTACAAAATAAAGAGACACCCTTGATCTGAGCAAGTCTACAAAAATTTGTGGGTTAATTTTCCTCAGAAATATTCACAAAATTTTGTAACTTTATAAATTTACAGATTTTACAAAGTTACCAATGACTCCTTGAATCGCCTCGTTGACATCCTTCCCGCAGGGCCTCGAGTGTTTATAACGAGCTGGGCCTTTTTATCCTGTCGGGTCTGTTAAGTGAGGGACCGAATGGTCATAAATTATGCCCGAGCTGTCAGAAATGGCCACGAAATGTCATCGAAATCTGTTCCCCTTTATTCTCGGGGCCATTCATCACTCCAGAATTGTGCCCTTGTCCGGGAGGGAAATTATCACCTAGAGCCCAGACCCGTTCAAATTAACCGCTTGCCCCTTTATTTATTTGCCACTCTGTCAAACCAAATCCCTGTCCAGATTGTTACGTAACTGTTTTCAGGTTAAACAAATATTGAGGCACCCAGGGCTTGGTAACTTTGTAAAATCTATGCACTCTTAAAAACCACGTGTTAATCGTCACTGGATGGAGTGCATGTGTGACTTCACCGATAATTGGCGTAGTCACGATAACGTCTTATTTCGCATTAGCAAACTTGCGAAGATCAAAACATTTGTGTCGTGAGGGGATTTGCAAAATATGATTTCGCAAATTTCGACATAATCTACTAAAAACACCAATTTTGACGTTGTTTTCATGGATTTCTGCAAGTTCTGAAATTCCGTGTCTGATGGATTCAGTTATAGAGGTTGTTTTAAGGCATATAAAGTACTGGAAATTCAAGTTATGGAATTTCAATATATTTAGTTATGTGATTTCAATTAAAAGTCTGGTCCATTAAATGAGACCCGTTCTCTTACTGGTGATGGTGAGAATGAGTTTGCGAAATAAGCTTGCGAAATAAGAACATGCCCAATTATAAATTTGCGAAAAAAATCCCATGGGTTTCTAGCAAAATTGCATAACTAGGAAACCAATAATGCGAAATAATTACTTGAAGAAATATAAAACTATTTAGATAACATTTACAGAGTGGCTATTTTTGCACTTTAATTCAATGGGGTGCTGTTCAAATTTCGAAATTCATTTTTGTCAAAATTGTTGAATTTTTATTAAATAAAATTTTTATGTCCAAAATTTTTGAAAGAAGTTTCCTTATCAAATTTTAAAATTAATTTAATTTCCCATTTCAAATCCAGGTATATAATTGGATTTTTTCAGCTAGAGAATATTGTTCCGAGCACAAATCCATTCAAATTTTACGGTAAAGGGAAGGATTAAGAACAAATTTTATTTAGCAAAGTGTTGCAAATATTTTTTTCCTATTGCAAATTAATTTACTTATTTCTTATAATATTTCTGCAAAATTGCATAACTAGGAAACCAATAATCCAAAATAATGAAGTTTAAAAGTGCAAACACTCATAAGGTTTGATGTGCGCGAACCATTAATTTTTGCAGTATACTTCAATGTGTAGCGATTTAAATTTCGAAATGCATTTTTAACTTGTTATTTTTTTTTAAATTCTTGCAATTTTGCAAAATTAAATTTTTTTCTTAAAATTTCCCTCCCAAATTTTAAAATAAATTTCCCATTTAAAAAAGTGCATAAAAAATTGCCACCCTTTTGTGTCGATGCTTATAAAACAAATGGAGTCTCGCCAATTAAAGTAAAACTTTATAATCTCGCCTCCACATCGCCTTTTAACTCTTTGACTTGGTTCCAACTCGACAAAACAGAGACATAAATCCATCAATTTAATTAACTTTCCAATTAATAGGACCACTTTTGCTACTGAATTGAATACGTAACTCGCAAGTGGAGCCGTGCAGGCGAGATGTGGTTGAATTTTGAGCCGTGTTATTAACGAACAAATGGATAAAGTGAAGGTAGTTAATGGGATCGATTCCGTCCGTCCGTCTGTCAGCACGATAACTTTGGAACGGATAATTTTTTTTAGTTCCGCTTTAGTGTATCGATATCTAGTTTTAAAGTTAAGAGGGAAATCGTTAAATGACCTTGTAGGTCAAAAGGTCACGACACCATTGTGATGCTGTAGAAATTTTTGTTTTGGACGGTTTCAGACATAGTTTGGGGCAAGAATTTCAGAATTTCCATCATTTCGACCTAGTGACCGTGTGAATGAGGTA